AATCCAACTCCCAACAAATGCAATACAATGGAAAACAACAACAGTTGGGTGATGCAGGTTTTGACATGCCATCTCCCAAGGCCGCTCTTACCTTTTGCTCCGGCTCCTCAGAGTCTTGCAAGAAACGTTCAGCCAGGGCGACAGCCCGTGTGCAGGTCTCCGGCCCATGTTCCCGGACCCAGCTCTGCATCTCCGGGGGCAGGACGGTCAGGAACTGCTCCAGGATGAGGAACTCCAGGATCTGCTCCTTGGTGTGGGTCTCCGGCCTCAGCCACTGGTGGCAGAGCTCCCAGAGCTGGTTGCAAACCTCCCGGGGCCCCTCGGCTTCTTCGTAGCAGAAAAGACGGAACCGCTGTCTCCGCATCTCCATGTGGACGAGGTCCTCATCCAGGACCTCTTCCTTCACTTTCACGGGTGAATCCTGGCTACTCCCATAGGGCTTACTGTCACCCAACGTGGTTTGAGGTATGCACTCTACTTTTGGCCACTGGCTAGCTTCTTCTCCTCTCTTGAAGGAGGTTGGACAATACTTGGGGTCTTCCCCCAACATATAGTGAGGGGACCGGGGATTCCTCCACCCCGAATGAGAGGGCTGCATGGTTTTCAGGAAGTCCTGTAATTGGTTTTCCCAGCACTGGTCCTCTGGCTCCTGCTTAAATTGCTGGGGGGGCACAGCCCCTTCCAGCAACTCCCCAGTGGCCGCGATCTGGACCACATGAAGGTCTCGTGCTGTGGCCTCCAAGCCCTCCTGCGATTCAGCTCCAGCAGCTTCCTGTTCCTCCATTTGGGTTTCTGAATCCAGATCCTGCATTGAAAATGAAAAATCGGGTTACTTAAGAACAAAAAAGGTATCCAGCCCCCCACCCCAGCACATACTGCAAGGAGAGCACCAACTAAATTAAGACTGCAAAAAGAGTCCTACGGGTCTTGACCAGGGTTTTATCAAGTCTCCCTTCTCCTCCAGACACATGAGACGGCAACCTCCAGATTTCCCAGTTAGGATGCAATTCTGGGACTTGCAGTTGCACCACATCTGAGGAAGATAGATCTTACCCAACTTTGTAGACCATCAGGAATTGCATGCAAGCTAGTAAGTGAGCTGGTGGGGAGATGGGGACAAATGACCTGCACAGAAACCAACCAAACTTTCAGAAGACGCCACCGTATCTTCCAACGCTGCCTTTACCTTTCGGTTGAGATCCGTCACATTGAGTTTGTTTCCTATCTTGGAAGCAACTTAGAAGCGACCTACAATTGCCTTCTTCTGGGGTATAGTCTGTCTGGCCTACAGCCCTGAGATTTTCCAGGTGTAACTCAACAGCTGGTTTAGGCTTTACATCAGGGTAGTTCTTCTTGTTTAGGTCCAAGGGTTTCATTTGGAGTGGAGCACGCTCGGGAAGGGGGGCAAGGCAGGGACCAGTGCCAAATTTGGGTATCGTTGACTTTGAAGGTGACTAAAATTCTATTAAATAGAATTCATTGGCTGAATCTCCCTGCATTGCATTGTTTTTCCTTTTCCTTTCTATCACATTAAGTATTATCACTTGATAGTTCTTGGGATGAGAAGTAGGAACCCCATATGCAAGTGTGGGGCAACAGACTGCCTACCCTATTTTACATCAAGTCTGCTCTTCTCATCTGTACCGGTGCAGAAGAGCTGGACCCCCAGATGCCTATTAGCAGCAAAGTCTCAAAGAACAGAACCTTGTTCCCTGTTCCAACTCTAATAATGACCTGCGTCTATGCATTTCACTCAAAATATTTATAGCCCATCTTTTAAAGGAAAAGCCACTGAAAAACACCTTGCAGGTATGAACATAATGATAATAATACTGTTTTTTTTTAAAGTATAAATCCTTATATCTAATTGGAAAAGGGACAATGAAATAGATCAGGTGAAGGTCAGTGATGCAGGTTTAGCCTGAAGGCCTTCTCCATCCATCCTCCTATTTCCTCCATTGGTCAGACAGATGCCTCTGGTGAGAAATCCATGTGGGGCAGCCGCTGGCATTCAGAAACACGCTGTCCCTAAACATGGAACATCATCATAGACTTTTCCTCTATGATTCTGAACCATTCCCTCTGAAAGCCGTTTAAACCAGGGAACACATCAAAATGCCGGGCTATGAAGCCTCTCTTTGGGGAGGTTTTGTCTATTATCACTCATACCCTGGTCATCTCCTGGCTGGACTACTGCAGTGCGCTCAACGTGGGGCTGCCCTTGAAGGCGACCGGTCCAGAATGCCACCGCTGGAGCCATGATGGGCACCAGTCAATTTGCTCATGCTCTGCTTAAGAGCTGCACTGGTTTCTATGATGTCTCCGGGTTCAAGTCAAGCTGCTGGTTGTCCCTTTCAAAGCTGTTCATGGATCAGCATATCCTGACTATCTACGGGATCACCTACCTCCAAGGGGTGGAATGGAGTATCATCAAAAAGGGCAAGGTTCCCGCCAGCCAAGCTCAGACGGGAAAGCTCAAACTACAATATTTTGTTGAAACTCTCACCTGTCTAGCCCATTATTTTTCAAGAAATGCTGTAATTATACTTTTAAAAAATCAGAATCTATACTAGTCTTTTTAAAATTTTGTCAGGGTTTTAAATTCTTCATTTATCTGTGCTAGCTTATGCTGCTTCCGAATATTTTTAAAAATAATCTCGCTTTACTTTAAAAATATGGGGAAACCCCTCTGGGCATCTATTTTCTTTCAACAATCAGGTGTAAATAACAAGGATTTTAAAGGATGTTAATAAAAAGATAACTTGGGCAGGATGACGCAAGTAGGCAAGCTATTTTTGAACAAGCATATTCACCATTGTAGGATGCTGGTCTACTCTGGGATGAGTTGCTTGCCTCTATGGAGTTCCACCCTTTCTAGACCAGTGTTTCTCAACCTCGGCCGCTTGAAGATGTGCGGACTTCAACTCCCAGAATTCCCTAGCCAGCCATGCTGGCTGGGGAATTCTGGGAATTGAAGTCCACACATCTTCAAATGGCCAAGGTT